AATTTTTGTGAAAAAGCATTGGGTTTTTGATGTTTTTATGTTGAAATGCTTGCAAACACACGGTGTTCGGTAGGATTCTGACATGAACGCGCGCGTGTGCTCTTTGTGGTGTTTTTTGCAATGGATTATCGCCGTGGACGACAGGACGTCCATGTCGAGAGGAAAAAATAAGAAAAATGTTGATTTTGTATTGTTTTTTGCAGGTTAGGATGGCACCACCCGGATGCGGCCCCTAATGGCCGGCCTGAGGGGGGAGTAGGAGTATATTCTAATAAGGAATAAGGATAGGAGTAGGAGTTGTAGTAGTAGTAGTAGCAGTATTAGTAGTACCAGTCGTAGTCGTCGTCATCGTCGTCGTTGTCGTTGTCGTCGTCGTCGTAGCCTGCTGGGGCTCGAGACCGCCCCTATGAGCAGGCATGCCGCACACCCGCGGAGATTCTCAGTTTTCGGGCGCCTCGCTTCATACTGCAGAGGCAGATGGACGCGGCCAGTCAGGTCGTGCGAGACGACGTGGCTCCACAGTATCTCAGATGATTGGGGTGGAACCCCTGCTGGGCTAGCCGCTCATACTGACTTAGGTGAATGATGGATGAGTCCCGCAACTTCGACTTTGTTCAGCTCGCGGGCGCGAAGACCGCTCGCAGCCAGGCTGACGGACAAGTACACAGTCGACGCGCGGGAGGCCGACTCGTTCTGGAGGCGCCTTGTGAAGCGGGACGGCGGCCATCTCCTTGCAGTGACGATTCATGTGGGGTTGCCATCGGCCTGCCTCCTCGCGCGACGAGCTCGGCGGTAAAACGAACATGGGGGAGTCCGCATGGCGCGCCTGGGCGGGCCCTCGCTGCTCCAGTTAAACTTCGGAGCATGGGCGCGTTGGCAGTTAGTTTGTATTTTCCGCCCTCAGGGCGGCACAGAACATCGGCATCTGCAAACTATTGATTGGATGGTTGGGAGGAGCTCTCGTGCGTGCATCTACGCGACGCAGGCATTGACTGCGCGACGGGCGAGACGGGTGGCTTCGAGCACGTCTCTCAAGAAGTGGCGGGCGCGCCGAATCGCGAACGCGCACGAGGTGGAGCTGGAGCCCAACTTCGCGAGCTGTGAATTGCACAGCCTATGCAAGGGCAGTGCCATTACTTGTGTCTGAGATACCCACTATGGCAACAAGGGCTTCAGCCGAATCGACTATATGATGCACCCTCAAGGCATCGCCCCCCTCGTGCGCAGCTGCCAGATTTGACCGAAACTGGGGACTAATCTTCAGCCGCTCACAGGCACACCTCCGCGAGACCACCTGCCCATCTAGTGCAGCATACAGTGCCACAAGTACGGGGTGCCCAACGAGGCTGAGGTCGCGGCGGAGGTTGCTCGCTGAGGCCACGTTAACTTGATGGAGGCAAGTCGCTCGGGCCGTGGACGGGGGCAATGTTTGGAGGGCGCTCGCCCCGCATTGCAGGAGTTGCCGATCCGCGCCTGCGTCGATTAGAAATCGCCCGATGCTATCTTCGATGGTTTCGAACACTGCGTCCACCAACTTGCAGCTAAGCACTTTGCCGAACAACGAGGGAGAGGAGAGCCGCGGAAGTCCCGCGCCGAGGCGCGACGACGATTTCCGTGAGAAGCGGTCGCCCTCCGCGCCGCCGTGGCGCACGACGAAGGCAACAAACAGTTCGAGCGACAACATTCGGCATCGTAGAAAACCTTGGATGAAGAGGCGAGAGGATTGACGCGCAGTTGAAGGAGGTTTCCAAGCGGCCCCCTGTTCAACTCAGACAACGCAACCGTCGGCGGCAAGCAGCTTTGATGGAGGGGGCAGATGAGGCGTGGCGCGGCGTCGCAATCGACAGGCAGAAACAATGATAGCACGCAGAGTTGCCGCCCGCTGCCGCCGCGGGCCCAAGAAGCGCAACGGCCGCCCCTTCGCTCCAGCGCCCCTTTCGGCGGCAGAGTGGCTGGGCGCGCGGCGGATGGAACCTTGGCGGCGCGTCGGCCTGCGAGATCCAGCGGGGCGAGTGGCGCCGGACGCGCGAGGGGCAATGCAGCGGGGGCGCCGGCTCTCGCAGAGTGATTTCAAGCCGACCTGGAGCCCTTGAAGCATCACCTCGCTCGGGCACCGAAGCGGCGAGCAGCCCCGCCCGGCGGTCTGCCGCGCGAGACCCGGTTGGCGCTGCGGCTGCCCGAGTATCGGGGGTGGACAGAACCCCCAACAGTGACACGTCGATTAGTGAATTGTGCGTTTTCGGTTTTCGAGAGGGCGCCGTGGCCGTTATTTTCCAGGCTTGCGCCCGCCAGGTTTGGGCCTCAGGTCGTTTTCACTAAACCACGTTTTGCTAAAGGGGGGTCTTGTCCATCCCCGAGAGTACCGCATGCGCAGCGGCCGAATGGCCGCGGGGTCACGCGCGCATTGCCGACGATAGGACAGCATTTTTCTCGCCGCCCGCCTTCGCATTGAGCCCGCCAAAAGAAAGCGCGGGCCCCGTCGCCATCGCCGCCGCGAGGGGGCCAGTAGAACATTCAAAGACCTGGCGATTGACCCGCGAGCGAGAGTGGGCGCCAGGGCCATCTGTTCGGGCGCCTCCGAGGGCAGAGGCGGGGACTTGCACATCGTTGCGGCTGAGTTCGGGGGCCATCGCCAAGCTGAGCGCAGCGGCCGCTTATGGGGAAGACGGGCGACAGCACCAAAGGGCGGGACAGCTGTTGCTGGGGGGGGAGACGCTCTGGCGAGGCTGGGGGTCGCGCAACCCCGGGCTCCCAGCCCCCAGGCCCTTTCCATCCTGGTCATCGGCTTGTCCGACGGCATCGGCGGGGTGATCGTCTCGCTCTCCAGGCTGCAGGCTGCCCGCGCGCATCATCGGCTGCGTTTCGTACGGGATCGACCCGAGCGCGAGGGGGGTCGTCAGGAAAAGCAGGCCACGCGCGCGCAGGGATAGAGTTAGACTGCTGCTCGGACACCCCTCACTCTGATATACCATCATGCCTGGCCAGGGCCATGACTACTTAACCTAGGATAATGCACAGACCCTCCTGGCCTCGGTCAGAAAGGCGAACTTATTGTGCCAGTGCCCAGGATGGCTCTGGCCACGCATGGTTGGTGGTGCATGATTGCAGCCTGCGTGCCTTCGACCGCAAATCTAGATCTTCGAACCTCACCCTCAAGCCATCCTCGCCCTCACCCTCCTCCCTGCCGCCCTTGCGGCGCTGCCGCCGACACCGTCGTCGTCGCCGCCGTCGCCGACACAGTCGTCGGCGTCGTCGTCGTCGTCGTCGTCGTCGTCGTCGTCGATGCCGACGTCGTCGCCGCCGACACAGCCGTCGTCGCCGCCGCCGTCGCCGTCGCCAGCGACCGTCGTCGCCCGCCAACGGCGGGAGGCGTGCCGCCTCTTCGCCGCCCGCCGTCATCGCCAGCGCCAGCATCAGCGTCGGCGTCGGCGTCGGCGGCGTCGTCGTCGGCGCCGCCGCCGGCGGCGCCGCCGCGCGACCACCGCCTCCACGCCTCCCCGCCCCCCAGGAGGAGGAGGAAAAAGCAGGGGAGGAGGACGGGGGATGAGGAGGAGGAGGAGGAGGAAGCGGAGGAGGACTAACAGGAGAAGGAGGAGGAGGAGGAGGAGGAGGGAGGAGGAGGAGGCGGAGGAGGAGGAAGGATGAGGAGGAGGAGGAGGAGGAGGAGGAGGAGGAGGAGGGGGAGGAGGAGGAGGAGGGAGGAGGAGAGAGGAGGAGGAGGAGGAGGAGGAGGAGGAGGAGGAGGAGGAGGAGGACAGCCGCCCCCCGAGGAGCAGGTGCGGCAGGAGTCCGCCCGGCGTTCTGGCGGCCCGGGGAGCAGCCCGCAGCGGCCGCCCCCAGTGCCGCGGCCGCGCGGCGAGGAGGCGGTCGCGCAGCCCGCCGCCGCCGGCGACGGCGGCCGTTGGCGGCGGCGACGACGACAACGACGACGACGACGACGACGACGACGACAACGACAGACGACGACGACAACGACGACGACGACGACGACGACGACGACGACGACGACGATGGACGACGACGCCGGCGACGTCGGTCGTTGGCGACGGCGGCGGCGGCGACGACGGCGACGACGACTGCGACGACGAACACGACGGCAGCGGTGGCGACGAAGACGACGGCGACGACGGCGGCGACGCCTTCGGCGGCTATCCTTCGGAAGCCCCTGTGCTTTGTTTCCCAAGAAGAAACGGCATGAACAATCACAAACACGTTAGCCAGCCCGGACCCCAGAGTCAGTCATTGCACTGTGGATGTACGAACTTTGTGGTGCTAGCTATGTGGTAACAGCTATGTTCAGAGCGTGAATTACCTACCCCGCTTTCGCTTCCAGGCAAAACTAAGCCATACCACGCGCCTCCTCGTCAAGCGGCCTGACCAGTACAGGCTGCAATTTGGCATCGTTGAGTATCTCTTGGAAGCGAGGGTGGTCAAAAGCGAGGTAGGTTTGTTTTCCCCCTATATGTGGTGCAGTATACGTGGTGCAAGCTAGAGGCGGCAACGTCTACTCTGTAAGAACGGTTTTTTGAAGGCAGATTTGCCTTCAAAAAACCGTTCTTACAGAGTAGACCAGTCTTTCCTCCTATTTTGTGAAGGCAGATCTGCCTTCAAAAAACCGTTCTTACTATGTGGACGTACATGTACATGAATCCACGCTGGTTTCGAGAGTACGCATTGCGCAAATGTTTGTATAACGCGGCCGGTCTCGCGGATCGAGGGGCCGCGTTCATGTACATAGCTGGGCGCGTACGTCCGTTGTGGGCGCGTACGTCCGTTGCGTCCTGGCCAGGATCGGTGCATATGCATACTTCTCTTCGCCCGAACAGCTATGTGGTGCAGTATACGTGGTGCAAGCTAGAGGCGGCAACGAAGCGGCCGCGTGGCGAAACCTCGCCAGGCCCAGAGCGAGGCGGCGCCCCGGCGGCAGCGGGCGACGGCGCGGCGACAGCCTCGCCAGACCCACCGCTGTCGCTTGTCTGCCCACTCGGCGAACCAAAAACGCGCCTCGTCCTCTACCTGCAAGGAGGAAAGACTGGTCTACTCTGTAAGAACGGTTTTTTGAAGGCAGATCTGCCTTCAAAAAACTGGTCTACTCTGTAAGAACGGTTTTTTGAAGGCAGATCTGCCTTCAAAAAATCGTTCTTTTTGAAGGCAGATCTGCCTTCAAAAAACCGTTCTTTTTGAAGGCAGATCTGCCTTCAAAAACCGTTCTTACAGAGTAGACCATTTTTTGAAGGCAGATCTGCCTTCAAAAAACCGTTCTTACAGGGTGAACCAAAAACGCGCCTCGTCCGCGTCCCGTGGTGCCCGCGGGCGCCCTTCGAGGCGGCGCGGCGCGCGGGGTTGGCTGTTAGAGCGGCCGACGGGGCGCGCGATGCTTCTTGCTGAGCACGCGTTGTGCCCAGATGTGCCCAGAAGATGTTTGACATTGGATTGCATGGCATCTCTACGGTGGTCAGCATCGTTTTTCTTCCGACCCCATATCCCCATCCCCACTTCCATCCAGACCCCCACCGTTTCAACACCCCAGTTGGGGATGATGTACACTTCGAAACCCGAAGAAAACAGTCTACATCCCCGTCTAGGACGAATCGGCCATTGGGGCTCAGCCCACGCCCATGGGGATAGGGGTCGGTTAAACAATGCTCAGGTGGGGGCGCTTGTGAAGGAATGTGCCCAGGCGGCCTCAGACCCTGGAGGATTCCTTACTCCAGATTTCGTAATAAAAGGGAGGGGGTCTCAACCCTCCCAGACGAGAAGTTTTAGACCCCCCCCCCGTGGGAGAACCCTCCCAAACATCGTCCCCAGACCCCCCCAGGCCCTCCAAGATAGCCTGGAAGAGACCCCCCCCGAAATGAGACCCCCTCCCTTTTATTACGAAATCTGGAGTATCTGATGAAGACTGTGATGGTACCGTTTGAGAGAAAACTGCGCAAAAAGCATTGAGAAACCACTTCGCGTGACCCCCGGCCTTCATATCGAACAAGCGTTCCCAGAGAAGCGGGGTCAGAAAAATGAAGATATTGAACCCAGCATCTTTAACGTAATACTTGAGAATGTTGAAATTAGGGGGGGAGGGAGGAATGTGATCCTTTCTAGTTCGGGCGTTGTTGTTGCAAAGTGTTTCCTTCAACCGTTGGAATTGCATTGCGCTGCATCCCTACGATGGGGGCGTTGGTGTAGGAATGTTCCCAGGACCCTGGAGGATTTCTGATCTGATGAGGGCTGTGGTGATGTCCATGGCCAAGCCTCAACTGGAGGTCCGCCGGCTTCCAGACTCCGGATTCCTGATCCAATAGTTCCTTACAGCTAAGACGCTGAAATAAGGAACAGCTTGGGCTTGGAAGGGGTTCGAGGCCTCTTACATATATCCTTCCATGGCTGTTCCTCTAGCCCTCCTTGTACACGCAGGCGCGTTTGGGGCCAAAGAATGGACTTCGTTCTTCATTGATCGTTCCGTATTTCAGCAGCCCGACTGCATCCCATATCCTCACCGTACCTGCAGCTCAAGCGACACCCCTCATTGCAAACCCGCCGGGATCACCCAGCGTTAGGGTCACAGGACGCTGGCCGATGGGGGGGGGGCCGCAGAGAGCCACGACAAGATGTCCGGTCGGCCAATAATTATGCGCCCAGGCATGCTTCGACGTGCTGGCGGCGCAGCCCAGGACTTGCTCTTCGGCGCGCACACGCTGTCTTTCCTGGCACCTGGCATCGCTCGGACGTGTGCATTTTTCTCGGCGAGGACCCTGGAGGAGCAGCCTGGAGCATCGAGCAGACAAGAGCACGCACGAAGCCGAAAGATGCACAGGGAATGGACGTCCGAGCGACTGCAAGGGCCGGAGCGTGGCTCCCCTCCTCACCACCCACCAAACCACCCCAACCCAACCCGAAGGCTTCAATCTGCCCTCCATTTCCGGTTGGGGGGGGTCGGGGAACGTTGAAAAAACACATGGAACCCGTACTCCAGATTTCGTAATAAAGGGAGGGGGGTCTCATTTCGGGGGGGTGTCTTTTCCAAGCTAGGAGGGCCTGGGGGGGTCTGAGGACGATGTTTTGGAGGGTTCTCCCACGGGGGGGGGGGTCTGAAATGGCTTGTCTTGGAGGGTACAGACCCCCTCCCTTTTATTACGAAATCTGGAGTACCCCCCCCCCCAACCCTTGGGCGCCGCGTAATGGGGGGGTCATAAATGGGGGGGGGGCGAGCGTGGTCCGAAAATGTACCCAAACGGTACCTAAACGAGCCCCCTGGGGCTCTGGAGGGGCCCGAAAGGGGCACGAAAGGGGACCTTTTCTGACCCCCCCATTTGTGACCCCCCCCATTAAGCCACGCCCAAGACCCGAAATTCGGGTCAAATTCGGGTCTTCGGGTTGGGTTGGGGTGGTCTGGTAGGTAGTCACCTCCCCCTCGGGCCTCGGGCCTCCCCGCGCGCCCCGCCGCTGCCCGACCGCCGTCCGACTCTCTCTCTCCTCCTCCTCCTCCTCCTCCTCCTCCTCCTC